GGTTGAGCTGGTGCACTACATACATACGTCATGGCCAGACATTAATGATTGGGTAAAATCAGATCCAATCATTTTAAACTTCAACAGAGGCCACGCCTCCAACAAGCAATCGTTACTCAATAGTCGAGAGTTCAGACCCTCTGAAGCAAAGCGTAGACCAAGGGTCTGGTTTTTACCATGCTAGAATAACACACAAGCTGCTTGTAAAATCAAAATAATAAATTCCCTGATCAATCTTCATCACTTAGTGCAAAGAGACCTTTGTTGTTTATTTGTTGTTTTAAGTCAAGTGTTAACTTCTGACCTGATTCCCACTCCAACAGGCTGGCATCCTCCCAGGTGGTCCCTGCTGCAGTACGGATACATTTCTTCACCTTCTCATTCTTCCCTTTCTTTTTGTCCTCTATTGAACTTTCCACGGGCTGGAAAACACACACACACACACTTCAGTTTTTTATGAATGGATCTGATCTCTGGTTAGGTATTGACAGGTCAGAGCTGTTCAGAAACTAGAAATGAGAAAGCAGAAAAGGCAGTTTTGCTGGATCTCTAACTTAAAGGCTTCACATGTTGCACATGTGCAAAATAACTTGTGACAACACTGCTGAGCCTTCTGTAATTTCTGATCCCCCTCTCGCTGCCCTTATCCTTTTTNGCGTTAGGATTTTCATGTAAATATACGCCCGATTTATGGCCCCAGAGGCCAACCACTGATAAAGCCCCCCTTGTCGAGGACGCACCCTTCAGCACCTGTATGCAGCAGGATCAAATGACAAGAAAGCGCTTTTCGGACCACTAATCCAGAACAGCTTCACATCCAGTCTTGATGTCACTCATCACAAAGGCAAAAATGACTGTCGGGTGTGATTCACTGTGACATATAATCAACACCTGTCACCAGGCGGTCGGGCCTTCGAGCTTATGGCTTGGATCATGAAGAGGCAGGGAAAAAAACGTTTTTTTGTGGTTTTATCATAGCCTAGCTACCATATTTTCATCGTGCGATGAGTGAAATATTCTGTTTGGCAAATTCTAGGACACTAACGCAATGCTCTAACCAACCAAGGCCACGGCTCACAAACAGAGGTCGCGTTAACGGAATATTTTCCGTGTTTGGCCGGTGGTTTTTTTTTGTTTTTACACGGTGACTGAAAAATCTGAAGGCTGTCCGTCATTTTGACAGATTGCAATTAACACCCCTGACCT